CTCTGTGATTTCCATCCGTGTCTCTGATTTCCATCCGTGTCTCTGTGATTTCCATCCGTGTCTCTGATTTCCATCCGTGTCTCTGATTTCCATCCATGTCTCTGTGATTTCCATCCGTGTCTCTCTGATTTCCATCCGTGTCTCTGTGATTTCCATCCGTGTCTCTGTGATTTCCATCCGTGTCTCTGATTTCCATCCGTGTCTCTGATTTCCATCTGTGTCTCTGATTTCCATCCATGTCTCTGTGATTTCCATCCGTGTCTCTGCGCCGCGTGCCGCGGTTTTCCATCGCGTTGCCGATTCCCTGGGCAGCCCGGGTGGGTTTGTGACTTGTGCTTCTCCGTCCTGCTCTGCTGCAGACGGTGCTGATGATCAACAGCCACGCCCTGGGCTGCAGCGAGGACTACTTCAGGGGCTGGGCAGAGTTCAGGCCCGAGCGCTGGCTGCACAGGGGCTTCATCCAGCCCTTCTCCCACGTCCCCTTCGGCATGGGCAGGAGGATGTGTGTGGGGCGCCGCGTGGCCGAGCTGCAGCTGCACCTGGCCCTCTGCTGGGTAAGCACCCCAAAAAGGCCATCTGGGGGGGTTTGTGCTGCTCATGTGTTTGAGCCCAGCCCAGCACGCTGATTCTCCTTGCAGCTGGTCCGCAGGTACCGGCTGGTGGCCACGGACCGGGCGCCGGTGGAGACGCTGCACTCGGGGATCCTGGTGCCCAGCCGCGCGCTGCCCGTCGCCTTCCGCCCCCGAGGAGGTTTGTGATGGGGCTCTGCACCCCGCAGCCCTCCCGGGACCTGGTGGGCATTTCTGTGCCAGCGGGAGCCTGAACGACTGGTGTTCGTCTGCTCTTCCTTCTCACAGGGCCACGGCCATCCCAAATCTGTGTTTGAACCAATTAGTGCCGTCCCAGTTCAGTGTGTTCACAGGGCCACGGCCATCCTAAATCTGTGTTTTAATCAATTCATGCCATCCCAGTTCAGTGTGTTCACAGGGCCACAGCCATCCCAAATCTGTGTTTTAATCAATTCATGCCATCCCAGTTCAGTGTGTTCACAGGGCCACGGCCATCCCAAATCTGTGTTTTAATCAATTCATGCCATCCCAGTTCAGTGTGTTCACAGGGCCACAGCCATCCCAAATCTGTGTTTGAACCAATTAGTGCCATCCCAGTTCAGTGTGTTCACAGGGCCACGGCCATCCCAAATCTGTGTTT